ATAGATTATTCAGTTTCAGTTTAAATCATACCATACAAATATAACTAATAAAACTTTGCAGTTATCATTCTATGTCATTAAAAGCCACTAAATAGGCATAAAATTCAAAGTTCTGTTTGATTTCAGTAACATTTCAGTCAAACTTTGACACTGCTATATTCTTGCGTGGTCACGTGGTCAGTGACGCATAACAGTTGAAGGGCTTCTCTAATACCTGCTGTATATACGTGTTTTATCACTACAGTACCGAAAATTAGTTAACAATATAATATCATTCAACTTATAGAAGTACTCTCACAGTATATTTGTTAAAATACTACGGTAATAATGGTAATTAATTATAGGTGAAAGTCCACCTTTGTAAAACATAAGATAAAGTAATATGTGTAAATTATTTTGTTGCATAAAGTCAAATTAGTAAAACTATCATTGCATAATAAACGTTGCATTGGTGATGTAAAATGTTGCAGAAAGTCAAATTAGTAAAAGTATAAGTTTTAATTATTGCATGATATCGCCCTTTTAAGGGCAATTTAAACCTATAGTCATGTATTGTATGCGTCATTGTATCATGGCAATATGTTCTCCATTTCTTAGATGTTGTAGCAATACGTTCTGTATAATTATGTTACTGGAAACATTTGATTGAGAAACATACAGTCCTTATAAAACAGGAAATGTAATTAACTGATAAATTAGTACTGAAAATCTTTAATCACTTGATTGAATAAGATTTAATTATTGTATTGTACTTGTAGAAATAATTAAATGATAAGGAAATGTAAATGGGAATAACCTTATCAGTGTCATGAAAGAAAGGGATCTTAGTGTAATGGTTAATCAGTCTCTTAAGCCATCCAAGCAGTGTGCTGTTGCTAGTGGTAGGGCAATTAGGATTTTGGGTTGTATCTACAGAAATATTGAATACAAGTCTAAAGAGGTTATAATTTCATTGTATAGGCCACTGGTTAGGCTACATTTGGAGTATTGTATCCAGTCTTTGGCTCCTTACTTTATGAAGACATTGAATTGTTGGAAAGGGTTCAGAAAATAGTTACTAGAATGGTGCCTGGGATAAAGGAGTTATCATATGAGGAGAGATTAGGATCTCTGAAATTAGAGGGGATCTGATTAAGGTATTTAAGATTGTAAAGAGAATTGGTAGTGTTGATGCATTTTCTTTTTCATACTTAACAGCGAGAATAGCAAGACTAAGAGACACAAATATAAATTTTGACAAAGTAGGAGTCATCTTCAGCTAAGACAGTTTTATTTTTCTAACAAGGTGGTTTGCTTCTGGAATGGGCTACCTTCGGATGTTTAAGTGAATTTAAGAGAAA